ACGTTTAGATTGAATGGTAATTTATAATCAGTCACAAGAACGTCGAATCCAAATCACATGAAAAAACACGGGGGTGCTTAACTTTTTTCCAGGTGTATAGTTAAAATGAAAACACTGTTACTTATAATTAAAATATGAGATCTTGAAGCATCTGAAAAGAAAACATAATACAGAACTTATACTAGTAGCTATCCCAAATTTGTCATTGGGTAAAAAAATAACTACCTATCATTTGATATTGCTTTCAAAAGGTAAGGTACAAGTCTGTTATTGAATGATAACCTACACAAGATTTTCAAGTTCTCTTACCCCTTTAAGAACAATCCTGGCTGTTTTGTGAATGTCACAATGTTTTACAGTTATGTTCAAAATTTGAACTCTATTATGTATTATGGATGTATGTCAGTAAAACTACTATTAGAATGTAGTTTATAATTCAAATTTTGTATTATTTAATATTATTCAAAAGAAAACATAAAAAAAATATCTCTCTCTCCCAGGGTGTATACAGAACATTAAGGTACACATTTGTTTTTTTTATAAAACTTAAATTAAAACAGTTTCCATACCATTTTTATTAGTTTATATTGAAATGAACTAAACTCCTTATCCTGAACCTTACCAAGTTATAAAATATTGAAAACAAAATAATGTTTTGATGACTGACAGAATTATACATTTGCCATCACCCAAGTATAACAAACACAAACTGTTGTAATGAGTTCAAAAATAAAAAAGGTAAGATGATTTTAGAAAAAGCACATAAAAAAACACAAAATAAGAAATCTATGCAACTATTTTTCTGTTTGAATTAAACCAATACATTTGTAAATTCTGAGCAATGAACATCTTTCACAAATAATGTCTATTTCCATATTTTTGATTTTAGAAATCAGGATATTTGGATCAACAAATTCACAAGTTTTTCAGATTGATATTCATCTTTATATTCTTAATGAAAATATATTTTAAGAAAGCCTTTTTCCTCACACTTCCTGTAAAATATTTCGCCAAATTAAGTTTTCTTTTACTTCTACTAAAGTCTTTGCTTGTTTTATAGAAACTTAAAGGATAAAGAAATATACGATGAATGAATCTATATCAAAGGAAACTCTAGAAGATATGTCTAATACCATCATACCTAAGAACTTATACATCTAATAATAATCAACAAAAAATAAATAAAAGATCAGTAAAGCCAGCTTTTTGGAATTTTGGATGCAAAACAAAATTTAACATTTCAGATATCAAATTCGAACCAACTTCTTGTGGGGTGCCATAGTGTCAGTAAAATATAATAAAGTTTCAGATTCATGCCTTTTAGTTTAAATTTATGATTGTTGTTGCAAAAATAGCGATTCAGATGAACATTTCACCATAAAAACAATTTGTAATAATTTATATATCTTCTTTGAATCAAACAGATTTCCCTTTCTTCTGTTATCTCTGTATAATCTAATCATCTAGCAGCTGTATCATGTAGAATGTAAAACAGAGCTTTCAAATGATTCTCAAGGTCTTATCCTGCAAATAATTTCATATAATAGCTTTTTCTTATGCACTATGCCTCATATAAAACCTGTACATATAGTTTATTAGAAGTTCTGATAACTGAAATACAACCAAAATTTATACTACAAATTTCATTTCACAAAAGAGCACTAAGTAACCTCATTTTCAAGCTCTAGCCATGTATCACCACAGAAAAATAATTACAAATAGGCAATTCCATATAACACAGGTAAGCTGACATGCAATTACATTTACACAAACTTAGAGAGAGAGTAGTTTGGTGGAAATTTTTATTTTTCAGGATATACCCAATACATTTTTGTTAGTGATGACTAGCAAAAAAAACCCTGACTCTAGGAATATTTTTCCTGTTTTTTACCCTGTCTCCATATTTGATGTCATGTGACATGCAAGTGCTCTAAAGTCTCTTCCTATTACTTTGTAAGGTAACATAATCTGTGATATATTTTCAAATTCAAATATACAGTTTCAATATTCTAACTTCCCTGTTTAGTGAAATATTACCACATTTTCCCAACCCATGAAAGAAGCCTTGTTCATTTATCCCTAACTTTCAAGACAATTTTCAAAACCATATATTTTTATTTGAAGTACAAGTTTATAGCCAACAGAAACAGCTTATTTTCTATTTTAAGCTTTCAACCATTCTTTTGAGTTTACCAGCAACAAAGGAAGTGACTGATGTGTGTTCTGTAGTAGAAATTGATTCTCATAGCATTAACAATTCTTTAAACCTACTTATAGCTTAGGTAGAAAGCCAGTTAAATTACAGTTGATTTTGGACATTCTATTCAAATGATTTATTTATTATTTATGTTTTAAAATGCATATTTGAAAGGAACACAAATTTTTGTTTTGACAACAAACTTAAACAGAAAAAATAAATTAAAGTTAGCTAGCTATGTGTTCAAATACAGAGCTTCGTGTGTGCAGCACCCTACTTACATGTTTATAAGGTAAATAAAAAATTTATACATTGTATATACATTTTATAACCTTGTCTACATCTTAGTATTCAAACTTGCTGACCACAAAAACGTGTAAAAAAATTCAAAGGATTGTTTAATGAATAATTTCTTTGGAAGTTAATAGCAGCTGCAAAGTAGCAGCTAATTCATATTCAATGATTTAGTTTTAGATGTATTAAACACTTTATTAACTATACATCCTTGACCACTTGTATTTTAGGATGAGAAGTCATTAAAGAATTTCCATATCTAAATAAATTACAATCATCTTCATATGATCTTGTTTGACTTTCTTTATGTGAAATCAATCTATTACAACACTTTACTTTTTAATTTGATCTATGTACTGTTTTAAACAGTATTACCTCAACCTCAGAAAATGTGAAGTCTTACCTTTAAAGGAGTAGCCGTTTGGGATTTAACTTGATTCTTTGTCGTTTTTAGTGACTTCTTTAAAGCTAGTTTTTTGGCCGTTTTTTTGGTTGCAACAATGCCCTTTTGCATCAGACCCTTCTTTAAAACCTCTGACCATAGTTGTTTGTTAACAGTTTTCGGAGACTTTCTTGGGGTTTTACCAGTTTTGACTCTTGGAGTTGTTTTTTTGTTTATGTTACTTAAAGGAGTCAAGATCTTCGTTGCATGTACAGCTGATTTCTTACTGTCAGAAGGTGTTGCTGGTTTTGATACTGGTGTAACTACTTTGGGTGAAATCATTCTTTTTTTAGCTGAGCTTCTAGTTATTGTTTCACCCATTTCAGGACTGGTTAAAGATGGTGGTGTTTTACTGCTTACTCTCTTGGATAAACCTAAGTTGGATGGAGTTAAAGATATTGGTTGACTGTTTTTAAGCGACATTTCATTAAAGGATGACGATAACTGTTTATTTCCATTACAAGTTATATCCAATAAAGAGGATTTCAGAGCCTTCTTTTCTTGAATGCATTGAGGGCTCACAGACCTTACTTTTCTAGCTTTCAGTATTTGTTTTACTTGTGGTGATTTAACCCCATATAATAATGAAATTGAAGATCTTTTCTCAATAGTTCTAGGACTTCTAGAATTTCTTACTGGTTTTTTTATTGCTTCAACTGAATTCTTGGAGATAGACACTGATGCTCCCTGAGAAGCCTTGGGAGTCAAAGAAATCTTCTTTGTTTTGTATCTGCCATGTGAATTTGGCAAGTTTTTCAATTTATTACAAACTATTTCTTTGTCATTTTTAGATGTTACAGAGATAGGCCCATTTGTTGAATTATCTGATGAGTCTTTGTTATTCACTTCTCTTAAACTAGTTAATGAATGACTGTTTTTTGTGCTCCTTTTTATGTTTGAATCAGAATTTCTTCGTTTGGTCATAGAAGATTCATACTTCTGTTTAAGTAACTGATTAGGCATTGAAATACGTTTTTTTGTAGATGCATAAAAAGCTTTGGGCCTAATTTTTGACCCTTTGACACTTGCAGGCTTTTGTACAAGTGATGTATTTACTTTCAATGTTTTTGAAATGGATTCATTTAGATGATTAACACTTACAGCATGGGATGTAGCAATGGATGGACTAGCCATTTTTTTGTTTCCTGGTGACTTAGATGATTTTTTAGAGAGAGCATTCTCTTTTTGGTTATTTTCAGAAGAAAGTCTTTTGGGTGAAGATGATGATTTTTTTTGTGGTGATTCTTCGTTGATTTTAAGTTCTCGAGGAACTTCAGACACGCGGCCTTTCCTTAAGGTTGCAAAATGTGTTAAAATTGGCGAACCAAAATAGTTAGGAACAGATGTTCTTCGTGAGGGAAAACTACCTCTTTTCAGGGGGGTAGAGGGAGGCATATTGATATCAAATTGCTCTGGACTCAACACTGGACCAAATGATACCCGTTTCTTTTTTGTGCTTGTTCCATAATCATCAATATTTGGTGAAAGTTTTCGTTTTTCCACAGAAACTTTTCCTGATTTTGGTGATTTTTTTTTGCTGGAACCTAAAAATAGGGATAAAAACTGCATTATATTTATTATCTATAACTTTTTAAATGTAAAGAACTTTAATTCACATCTTTGAAATTCATACTATTTTGAATTAATGCTTTTAACACTTTTCAAAATTTTACACAAAACTATACAAGGGGTATCTACATTAGTCATTTCTAATTTTGAGCTGATAGGTTGAAAGGAAGGAAGCTACTCAACAGTTTTCACTGCCAACTCTTAGACTACTGTAATTAATTAGTGGATTTGACTTCACTCTTTTAACTCTCTCATGTCCCCAAAGTATGGAGTATGATTTTGCAAAAGGTGATGTAAACCACAGGTCCTTGGATCCATAATTGAATACACCTACTACTGGGCCTTGCCTCACTCAGGGGGAAAAAAAAACTGTGAAAAAATATTTTAGCTATCTATGAAATCTGAAGAATATATAACTGTTAAAACAGTTTCTGAAGCACAATACATTATGTTTACTAAATACTTGAAAATTCATGAAACAAAAAGTTAATTCCAAATTTGCAAATATGGTAAATTATGTAAAATTACATTAACTATATAGTACATTGCACAATAAGAACTGATTTACTGCTTTTCTACTGTTTTGGTACCTCAATTTCTTTGCTCTGTTAGAAAGCAGCTACCAATAAGTATGATAAAAGCACCATATCTGTTGTTCGTAAAAATCATATGGTATAGATTTATAACTTTAGAACAATGTTCAAAAAACCATGCAAGATTAATTTTGGACTTTAAAAACAATTCAGAGAAATCAGAAGGCTTAAAGCCATTTTGTAATCTATAAAATTCTTTTACACATGCAAGTACTGAAGACCAACATTTAGAATTTTTTATTCTATTATTCATCAAAACAGCATTGTTCAATGAGGTTTTAAGCTGTTATATTATTTGAAAAATAAAAACGTTTTGAAGATTTTGAGTTTTGTACAAAATATTATTTCTAAAATTTTACTTTCCTAACCTGAGTTCTTATTTCTAAAATTTTATCCTTTTACATGAGGTTGCTATTAAACATTTCTCTTTTAAACATATTTCTTTTTATAAAACTGACATCTGTTTTGAAACTAATACACTCTGCATACATTGTAGAAAAATGTATGATTTTAAGTGATAGCTTGATACTTTTGTTAGAGTAATTTCAGGAGTTGCCATTGTGTTAAGCTGACACTCAATCTGAAGTCCACAAAGAGGATGGAGCTGTGTAACAAGATAATATTACCAAGTTTCTTTTACATGAATAAACTAACAAAGTTATAATCATTTAAAACAGCTACAGCAATACAATCTTCCAAACACAATATTTGAAATGGAGTTCTTATTTATATTCTCATAATTAATCTTTAAAATTGACTTCAAAATCATCTCCAATACTCAAGTTCATACTAGCAAACAACTCAGTAATAGCGATAATTTGTAATGCAATAAATATGGAACCAAAATTTATTACCTACCAGGTTTCTTAATATTTTTAGGGGATGGAGTGGAAGAGTTTTTAGGACTTTTTGTTACAGTCTTTTCAGGTACTTTTTTCAGAGATGGAGGGCTTTTACTTAACGACTTTTTTCTTGATACTGGTGTTTTTCCTGGGGAAGTTTTCTTTTTACTTGGAGATACTGATTCAGCAGGAATTTGACTGGGACTCTTCATTACACTGGCAGCATTTGGAGCAGGGGTCTTAAGAACAAAAAAGTAAAAACTATGTGGTTTAATAATATAAAATGTAGAACTTGAAAACATCTTTTACATCATACAAAACATAACAATAATAAAGAAAAAATATAAAAAAGGTTGTTCAAATATTAAGATAAAAGTATTTCATATTACAGCTATTAACCTGTAATACCTCATATTGTCCTACTTATTCTGTATTGTTATATTCCATACAAGGGTTAGTTTATCATCTATTTAATTTAATACTGAAATATGAAGATACAAAAGCAAACAACTAAAAACAAACATTCCTTCCTGTTGGTGCAAGATATCTATACACAAACCTCCAATTATAGCACTAAGAGGGCCAGTCAATCTAATATGTTTTGTCAACTTTAAAGTTCTTGAAAGATCTGAGTCAATACTGAGTACTTTCTCTATAAACTCCTCCAATAAGGATTTAATGAGTTTGACCACATACCACATGACTGACCACCACTATGGTACTGTAATATCAGATCATCAGTACACAACTGATAGGGTTTTTTAGTGAATCAATCTGATAGGTTTCATTGACTGTGATCAACAGGTTATGAGTATACCATCATTATTTCATTCACCCTATGTTCACAGGTAGGGTTCAAGTGCACAACTTTTTACAGAGTGCCATTCAAAATGATATTACATATTTGATGTCACAGTTATCAGCTTCTCATTTTACCCAACATTGCTGATTCAGTAAAAGTGCATGGTAAGAGTAAATACCAAATAAAATATACAGGGATAATGAAAAAAAAAAAAAAACTATAGAAATGCATTTCGGTGGTTCTAAAGTTGATAATAAAGTAGTTTGATTAAACTTTGAATGTAACTCTGTAAAAGGTAATGACATGCACATTTTGACCCCCACCTATACACATAGGGTTAAGACAACAGTAGTAAAAATACCTGTCATTATACCTGTCATTTATTGTATTATGTGCAAATTCAAAACTTCAGATATATCACAGAATAAGATGAAAGCCATGCTTCCTAATAATACTGTACTATATTCAAAATTATGAGGTTTATTGAAATTTATCTTTGTGTATAATTTATTTCAAGTTATGCTGAGTGATATTTCATACTTAAGTCATAATTTATCTAATGTTTAATAATGGCTGGAGACGGCTTGAATGGGTTATGAAGAAAAACCTTAATAGTCTGTACCTTTACTGGTAAAACCATCGTCATGAATAAATGATGTACTTGTGAAACATATAATAATCTTGTTTTAATATGTATATGTTATATCGCATAAAAGAGAAAACCATTATGGGTTCACCAATGAAAAATCTTTCTCCACAAATTGTCTACCTTTCTCAAGGATAGAACTTACTATTTTGATGACGAGGAACCCACTTTGAGACTAATAATGGC